TGCTGTGAGCTGTGATGCCACAGCACTCTACCAGGGGAACAGCTTGAGGCTCTGTCTCAAAAAATATATATATATTAGTTTAGAACAGTTAATTATATTAGTTTTAAATCTTCGCATTGTTTAAAATTCCAGAATTGAATTGTTTTCACATTAAAATAGCCATAAGGGGTGGCCTGTGGTGTAGTGAGGAGGGCACTGGCGCCATATACCAAGGGTGGCGGGTTCCAACGCTGCCCCAGCCAAACTGCAACAAAAAATAGCTGGGTGTTGTGGGACAGACCCGTCACTGTGACCCCATCCCCCAGTCTCTGCAGCTGAGGATTGCTCAAGCCCTGAAGTTCAAGGTTGCAGTGGCCTGTGATCACACCACTGCACTCCAGCCTGGGCAGCAGAGAAAGAAAGAGTCGTGTCTTTTGAGTACATTACATATGTTTATGTATATAGTAGAGCTTACAGAAAATACTTCTTAAATGAAAAGGTGGAAACTTAAGTAGTAATTGATGTTTGTAGATTTTTTTTTAATATATAGCTCATTAAAAGCAAATAAACAACATATTTTTAGTTTTAGGTTTTAATGAAAACTGAAAAGGATGGAAGTACAGAGGAGAAAAAGAGGAAGGTAGTTATAATACTGAGAGTAACAGAAACTAAAATTTACTTTTATCATACATGTGCAAGATTTATTTTTAAGACCAGACATGGTGGCTTATGCCTGTAATTTCAGCACTCTGGGAGGCTGAGGCAGGCCACGCTTGAGCTCATGAGTTCGAGACCAGCCTGAGCAAAAGCAAGACCCCTTCTCTAAAAATAGATGGGCATTGTGAAGGGCACCTGTAGTCCTAGCTACTTGGGAGGCAGAGGCAAGAGGATCTCGTGAATGCAAGAGTATGAGGTTGCTGTGAGCTATGATGTCACAACACTCTACCAAGGGCAACAAAGTGACTCTGTCTCAAAAAAAAAAAAAAATATATATATATATATATTTATTTATTTTTAAAGCTATTTATATAAGTTCTAAATACCTGATATGTGAAGTACTAGTAACTGAAATAGACATTACATAGAATTTTAGAGGTAGAAGAGTTGGGGAAATCATCAGTGTTTCCGAATGTGTTTTTGCAACTGATACAAAATCAAAACATAATTTTTTTAATAAAATGTAGAGCTATTTTATTTTACATATTAAAAGGAACCAATGTGGAGTCAAAATCCACAATTTTACACTTTAAAATTACACACAAAAATTTCACACATCAAAAAAAAAAAAAAAATTTCACACATCATCCTCAGAATAATCAGTTTCTGTACAAAGATGTACAGATATCCAAGTTTGTCGTTTTCTTCAGTGTGCTACAGAGTTTGGATAGGGATGTCCAACCTGCAGCCCATGAGCTGCAGGCTGATTTTGTAAGGATTTTTTTTTTTT